GGATCATGACCTGAGCAGAAGGCAGCCACTTAACGACTGAGCCACCCAGGCGCCCCCACTTGGTTAATTTTAAAACCACTTATGAAGTACTAAGATTTTAGTTCCAAATACACATACAAAAAGATCAATGTGATTTCTTTCTTTAAACCAAGGCAACTTTATTATTAATTTTTTAAAGATTCATTTACTTAGAGAGAGAGAGAGAGAATCCGGAAGCAGGGTCCCCGCTGAGTGCAGAGCATGAGGAGGGGCTCAATCCCAGGATCCTGAGATCATGACCTGAGCAGAAACCAAGAGCCAGCTGCCTAACGAACTGAGCCACCCAGGCGCCCCTAAACCAAGGCAGCTTTAAAACATTTGTGTCTGTTCCTCTACTCCTTCCCCAATTTATAGTTGCTTCTTTAGCCAAATAATCTGGATTTAAGACTGACTTCTTATTTAGTCAATGTACCTTTAACTCACAGCACAATAACGCATTTTAAGCATTTATTAAGATATATACGAAAATTCATGTGGAACTAGCTGATCTGAGTAGAGAAACTACATTTAAATGTGGACATCTTACCTTATCTGCATAAATTGGAACATCATGAAATGGAGATATATATTGTCCTTTTTCATTTTCTGCAAAATGAATTAGAAAAAGTTACTACTAATTTTTTTGTTAACTATTTCAGATGCATTAAGTATACATTTTTAAAAATATTTAATTTTTTAGAGTAATTTTAGGTTTACAATTGAAAAAAAGGTAGAGATTTCCCATATCCGCCCCCCTGCTCCCTCATTTGCCGAGCTTCCCCCCATTATCAACACTGTTCACCAGAATAGTGACATAGACATTTTTTATTCCCACACCAGAAAAACTGGTTGTATACTTTACCTTCCTGACCCCTCCAAGATTGGGTTAAGTTTTCATCCTATGCTTTCCTTAGGTGTCTAACAGATACCTCTACAATGAGGACAGGGGCTGCCTTCTATCATTTTGTATCCCCAGAGTCTAGCAGTGCCTGGTAAATAAAAGGGGATCAAATTGTTTTTGACTGATCTTACATCAGTTAATGGTTTACGGAACTAATGAAATAGTTGTGCTGGGGAGAAGGGGGGGGGACGAACTTGCTGAATTATAAAACCCTGTTGTCTTAAGTAATGTTCCAGGAAGACAGAGCCATCTTAGATTATTATATTTCTTAAGGATAATCTAGTTGCAACAACACTTTCACAGGTAATTTCTATATTCTAGAGACCTAACTACCATATCCAAAAAGTAATTTCAAAACTTCCTTACTATTCTTTAAGAAACCTAAGGGTCAGTCCATACAATATCCCTTCACATTTAAAAACCAAGGTGGAATAGCAAAAACTGAGCAGTGACCATCCCCTGTCCCACTATGATCCCTTCAAAGTCAGCTGTGACTTTGCAATCCTATCCACTATCAGGTTTTTTTTTTTTTTAAGATTTTATCTATCTATTTGACAGAGAGAGAGAGAGCGCGGGAGCGAGCACAAGCAGGGGGAGCAGCAGGAAGACAGAGAGGAAGAAGCAGGCTCCCCGCAGAGCTCCCCATGTGGCTTGATCCCAGGACCCCCAGGATCACAACCCGAGCAGAAGGTAGACGCTTAACCAACCAAGCCACCCAGGTGCCCCTCCACTATCAGTTTTAAAGAGACTGACAAATATAACATTACAGAGGTAAAAAATCCTCTACTAAGGAAGGGTGCTAAGAAATCTGATTTAAAAAAACCCTTAAAATTGTGTTATTGCATAGTTGTTTCTAATTATTATTTCCTAAGTCCCAGAGAGTTCTATCTGATAAAAAGTTACTTTAGCCAGTGCCAAAGTCGAGGAGTGGTTATGGACTTCCATAATGGCCATCAAATACTACCATTACAAAACCTAAGTAAAAACTGCTGTTTGAATACTGCTTGAAGACAATTCCCCAATCATCCCTCCACCTTCAAACTCTAGGGTCACCTCTCTAAATCCCTCCTACAGATAAATTCTGGAGCCAACACTAAATCCAGGAAAAATAAGTTAGTGAATTATTCGTCAAAAGTTCCCACGCTACCCTTATTTAACTCCGAAATTAAATAAAATGGGGAGTCCCATCCTTCCTGGATTTTGCATGGTAACCTTCAGCGACATGTGTAAACTTGAGTTCACTTTCTTTTTCCTCCCACAGCACGTTACTTTTTGCTAGGGACTTTGTTCTTTCTCTTCGTATTTCCATTCGTCCCCTCTATCTTGCTCTTTCCTGCCCTTCACACACCACACGCAAAGACTTCGGGGAACCTGCCCGTTGCCTTCCGAGGAAAACTGTCCTTTACAGTTAAATTAGAAACACCTTTGGTGACACATTTTCGAACGCCTCCGTTGTCTCCAATAATCTATTCCTGGTGGCTTGGGGCGGAGATGGGTAGAGATAAAGACAAACCCGAGGTAGCTTTCCTCCACCTACAAGACGGAAGGTCGTGCGCCAGGGAAAGCGGAGCTCAGCCAGCCCGCAGCGTGCTGGGCTCTAAGCGCAGCTTCAGGCGCGGACCTGGGGTGGGTCCCCCTCAGATGCCGATTCCCTGCCCAGGGGCAAAACTTGGCACTTTCTCACTCGTGCTTCCCAGACTGACGTCACCTGTTTGACTTGAAGGAAACAGCTTTCTGTTTCACAAGGCGCCTTCCCAGCATCTGTGCTACCGGGGACACCTCGGTGGGAGGGGCAGGAGCGTACCCTGGCGAGGGGTTCGGTCCTCCACTGACGGCTCCTGATCCCGGCCTTAGTTTCCCCGTCTGCAGAACGCGGGGCTGGATTTGACCCTGCTTGGTGCGCACAAGCTGAGCTACAGTTCAGGAATTAAGGTCCTTAGGGAGTCATCCACCCCGCCCCAGTTCCTCCAAATCAAGCAATCCTCTTACGAGGATCAGTTTACCCCCAGACACCTTTCTAGGGTGACTCAGTGGTTTCCTTTCCCCATCAGACGGTGCCCGCCCGAGCAGGACACCTGCAGAAATAGCCCGGCCCGGGGTCGGGTCCCACCGCGCGTGTGAAAGAGGAACGCCGAACCCCGCCGTCCCGCCTGCGAGCACGACGTGTGAAACCGGAGGCCGGCCCGGCCCAGGCCCCGGGGAGCCCGAGGAACCCGGCCCGCGCCCGGGACGAGGGGCGGAGCGCGGGCCGCAGGCGCCCGGGCAGGAGGCGAGGCGAGGGCCGGGAATGAATGGGCTGGCGGGCGGGGAGGGGCCGTGGGCCGCCGACACTCACTGAGGAAGACTCGGTACTCCAGGGTGAAGGGCGCGGCGCGCTCCTCGCTGCTGAAGTCGTTCATGATGCCGATGACTAGCCGCCGCCTCCGCCGCCGCCGCCGCCACAGAGCCACTAGCCCGCACGCGGCGCCGACTGACAAGGAGAAACCTCCGCGCCTGCGCACCGCGGAGACTGGCGCGGCGAGCGGGGCGGGGAACGGCTTTAAGAGGCCACCCCACCCCCGCCCGGCCCACTCCGCGCGCAGGCGCACTCCGCCCGGCCCGCGCGTCCTGTCGCCCCAGCCCGTCTTCCTCGGCCCCGCCTCGCGGGACAGCGTCCTGGCTCCCAGGCTGGGCCACGTGGCTGGCGGCGAGCTCTGGCTCGGCGGGTGTTCTGCCACCGCCCTGAGTGCTGTGGGACTCTGACAGAGGTCAGTAAAGGGCCAAGTTCTCAGCTTGCGCCAGCTGGGAATTGATCGGCGACCCCTCCCCCACCGTGCACCCAGGGAACTCTCACCCACACCCAGAGTAACTGTCTCAAAGGGAGTTCCGAAGTCACATGCGTCATCAGGCAGGCCCTGCCTTTGATCGTAAAGGTGTGCATGTTTAAGCGAATTTGAGGCATATTACTGAACCCCCGTCCCCACAATGGCCACCAGGTGAGTAACCAGCTCTACCACTTTCTAGTGTGGGACAGCGAGCAAATTGCTGCTAACCTTTCCGACTCAGTTTCTCATCTTGGGACATGGAGATAGTAATAGTAACTATTATGGGTTGTTGGGATGATTAACTGAGTTGATACATGTCAAGAGTCAGAGGAAGAGCCTGGCTCGTTGTAAGCACTGTGGAAGTATGACTTGTTATTTCTACCCTCCCCAGTGAAGGAGGATTCACTCTGCCCCCCTCCTTGCTCAACCCACCCCGGGTCCCCAGGGACTTTTCAGTTGTAAGCATTGGGAAGGTCCAGGCATGCATTCAGAGTCCCTTGAGCACATTTCTCTCAGGCATAAGTTCCTTGGAGCTTGTTTTATCAACTTCTGTTCTACTGAGTCAGGCCAGACCCCAACAGCTAAAGTCTGATTGAGGCTGTGGTCGATAAATTGAATCAGTTACTTCCCCAATCCTGTATGTATGTATGTGTATGTACACACACACACACACACACACACACACATATTTTTTTAAGCGTATTTCAGGGGTGTCTGAATGGCTCCGTCGGGTTAGCATCTGCCTTCAGCTCAGGTCATGATCCCGGGGTCCTGGAATCCAGCTCCCCGCTCAGCAGGGGCTCTGCTTCTCCCTCTACCCTTCCCCCTGGCTCTTGCTCTCTCTCACTTGCTCTCTCTCATCAATAAATAAATAAAATCTTAAAAAAAAATGAAGTGTATTTCCAAATCCAAATTATAAATTAATAACTGATTATTCACTAATTTGATTATATAATATTTCAAAGAATGACTAGTTTGATGGGCTGGGTTCCTTTAAAAGATCTCGTTTTTCTGGGGCATTAAAATATGCTTTTTTTTTTTTAAGATTTATTTATTTTTGAGAGGGAGAGGGGTGTGGGGGGCAGAGAGAGAGAGAGAAAATCCTCAAGCAGACTCCCCACTGAGCGCAGAGCCCACCACAGGGCTGGATCCCAGGACCCTGAGATCATGACCTGAGCTGAAATCAAGAGTTGGACCCTTAACCAAAGGTTAAGTAATAATAACCTTTGGCCCACTTAGCCAAAGATAATATGCTTTAAAGACATTTTGATTTAAACTTTTTTATTTCAAAGCGGTGTCTACTATGGAAAATGAGATGACCCCTGTATTAAAAGAAAACCTAGTAAGATAATTTCCTAATGAGTTAGGGTGTTCCTCCCTTGTCTCCATTCAGACTCCCATTAATTTTCAGAAGGCCATGACTCATTGACCTTTTGAACAGTACACCACACTGTTTTACGGCAGTTGGAACACAGGGCAGGCAAAAAAAGAGTCGAGCAGGAATTTAGTCAGTAATACAATGTATTACTGGAAGTTAAAGGAATCTCTGCAGAGTGACCACTACGTAGGATTAAGTTCAGGGAGTTTCTTAAGGGGGTGCTCTTTGGATTGAGTTGCTCTATCAGTTTTCTGCCTTTGAGCCCAGAATCTTGTCTGTGACTTATGAACAGATGGACATGATGCAATTGTGTACTACAGGCACTTTCCCTTTTGCCTCCTGCCAGCTCAGAGCAAGATAACAAAGTCTTGCTGACTTCTGGACTTGCACACCAATTTTTGTGTCATCGAGTATCGAGTACGTTAGGAAAGCCAGTTAATATCATCTCCAATAAAACGCCACACCCTGGCTTTGCTGGGCCACAAGTCAGTGCTTTGGAACTTTCCCTTGCAGGCAGGGCTGGTGAGATCCATAGGCTCAAGTGGATGTTGTTCTGTTTCTCTGTCTCCCTGGGGCCTCGCACAGTACCTGGCCTAGAGCAGATGTTTAATGAATCTTTGCTGGGCTAATGGATAGAGGAATTAATGAAAAGGAGGCAGATAATACCTTCTTAAGTATAGTAGTTTGACAAAGGATAAACCCAGCTGCTGCCAGACATGATCTTTCTTGCTCTGTAACAACTCCAGTGGCACTTCTTTTCAATCCTGTCCTCTTTGCTGTGGTTGACCCTGCTGGGTGCCTCCAGTTTTCTGATGGTCTCTCTTCTTTGGCTTATGACTGCATTCTCTTCTGACATTTCTGCCACTCCTCTGGCCACTCATTTCTCATTCTCCCCCTTAGCCTTGTCTTCATCGCTTCATCTTAATCAGCATTGTCTTTCTTACTTCTCATGTTCTCTGTCTCTAGAGGTACCCTCTCCCTAGATTATCTCATGTGTATATTTGGTATCAACTACCACCTACAGCTCCTGTAACATGAAAACTTTCAAATCTACAACTAAGTTCTATTTAACACTTATTGTGGTCGTTGTCTCTGCTAGGTGGTAGGGATGTAGCACTTAGAAAGACATGCTCTTGGGGCACGTGGGTGGCTCAGTCAGTTAAGTGTCTGCCTTCGGCTCAGGTCATAATCCGGGAGTCCCGGGATCAAGCCCCACATCGGGCTCCCTGCTCAGTGGGGAGTCTGCTTCTCCCTCTGCCTCTCAGCCCGCTCGTGTTCTCTCTCTCACTCTCTCTGTCTCTCTCTCTCAAATAAATAAAATCTTTTAAAAAAGAAGAAGAAAGAAAGACACGGTCTTGGCCCTCAAAGAAGTTATAGTCCAAAGGGAAGGCAGACTTCAGCAAATAATTACAATAAATGTGGATAAGTAGAGTGATAAAGTAAGTACAGGGCATTGCATTATGGGAAGAGAGAGCTCCTTCAAGGAAGTGAGGCTTAACCTATGACCAGAAGGCAGAGAAGGGGTTAATAAGATGAAGAGGATAAGGCAGAAACCAGAAAGGGATTATTAAGAGATGAGACCAGAGAAGTAGGTCAGGGTTAATTGGTGGAGGGCCTTGGAAGGCATGATGTAGGGTTTGAACTTTTCCCTAAAAGCAATGGGCAGCTTAAGAGTTTTTAGCAGGAAAGGGGCACAATTAGAATTGCTTTAGAAAATGGCTCTGGTAGTGGCTTGGAGCCTGGATTGAAGTTTTAGCAAGACTACAGGCAGGAGACCCAGGAGGAGGCGGCCACAGTGGCCAAGGGTAAAGATGCTGGGGCACCTGGGTGGCTCAGATGGTTAAGCATCTGCTTTCGGCTCAGGTCATGATCCCAGAGTCCTGGGATCAAGTCCCACATTGGGCTCCCTGCTCAGCAGGGAGCCTGCTTCTCCCTCTGCCTCTGCGTCTCTCTCTCTCTCTCCCTGTCTCTCATGAATAAATAAATAAAATCTTAAAAAAAAAAAAAAAAAAAGGTAAAGATGCTGACCCGTCCCTGGATGTAGGCGGCAAAAGAGAAGAGCAATGATGGAGCCATGTTTAAGGTAGAATCAATGGAACTCGTCGTTGGTTGGATGGAGTAGAAGACGAGGGACTGATTGCTTCCTTCTGTGACACACGCTACTCCGTGGATGAACCTTAAAGACACTATGCTCAGCGAAACAAGTCAGTCACAAAAGGACAAATACTGTGTGATTCCACCTGCATAAAGTACCTAGAGGAGTCAAAATCACAGCACAGAAAGTAGAAGTTGCTAGGGGCTGGGGGAAAGAGGGAATGGGGAGATACTGTTTAAGGGTTATGGAGTTTCAGTTGGGGAAGAGAAAAAGTTCTTGAGGTGAATGCCCTTGATGGCTGCTCAAAATGGGAATGTACTTATTGCCACTGGACTCTACATTTAAAAAGGGTGACAATGGGGCGCCTGGGTGGCTCAGTCGTTAGGTGTCTGCTTTTGGCTCAGGTCATGATCCCAGGGTCCTGGGATCGAGCCCCGCATCGGGCTCCCTGCTCAGCAGGGAATCTGCTTCTCCCTCTGACCC